GAACAAAAGGGGCTCTGATAGCTTAAGCACAAGCTATCTGAGGGTGACTGGCAGGGTAGGGGGAGATGAGGAAGCCGGGCTGGCGGGAGGGGCACACGCCTTTTAGATAAGGCCAGATTTGCAGAATCCTCAGTGATGGGCTAAAATCTCATATGAACATGGCCCAAGGCCTGCTGGATCTGGGAAGGGCTTTATGAATGAGAGGAGTGGGCTTAAGTGCTTCTCCAACCTTGCCGTGCACGTCCTTCTTAGTACAAAGTTGCATGGCCTGCCTGGTACAGGAGAGTGTGGCTGCCTTATTTCCTTCCTTTTCCAGAAGAGACTGGAGACACCCCCTACCAGTTGCCTCCTCTCCTGCTTGCACTTTGGATGGTACGCTAAAGTAGAGGGGCTATGGGGTGAATGCTTTGAAGTTGAACTGTCTGCATAGGATTAATAATCTAGGAAAGTCTTCCCTTGCTTCCTCAAATCCTTTTGGGTTTCTGGTTTGCAGAAAAACACATAGAGCCTTTGGCTCCACCATCTTAACTTGTGTGTGTGTGTTGATCTCGTGCCCAGTGTGTGGGCCTGCCCTTTCCAAGTACTGTGGGATGGACAGGCTGCATTGTGGTGAAATGTGGGGCTTGGACATCAACAAAGTCCCATCGGGAAGTGGAGGGCTGGTGACAAGAGGTCACCTCTTTAGGGATGTCTAGGTGCTGAGGTGTGGTGCCTGGGGTGCTGGGCTGCCAAGGACGTGTGCTCACAGAGGTGTGCTTGCAAGTTACCAGTAGATGGTGCTCTGACAACAGGAAAATACAATTACTGTCTCTGCTGGGCTAGAAACGGATATGCAGAAACCGACTTCCAGAGTTATGACCAATTGCTGATTTTCTGCATTTCTATTTGTGGGTCTTTAATAGGACAGTGGAACTAGAGACACTAGATAGAATGCCCCCCAAATTCCCTTATGAAGAGCATTGCAACATTGACCTGATCTCGGGTTTTTTCTCAGGATCCTCCTGGATCTTGAGGGCAGTCAGATGTGTTCCCAGTTAGGTGCATTTCCAGCACAGTCCCAGGAGCAGTGCGCACTGTCCAAATTCCATTTGAGGACGGTAAGCAGAGCATTCCCATGGGTTTGGTGTGATCGTATAGTTTCTTCTCTTGCCGGTGAACGATTTTGAATTGCACTATTCCTGCCCTGAAGAGAAGAGCCTGGGTCTTAGAAAGAGTCATGAAGTGGAAGTCAGAAGATCTGTGAGAAGTCCAAAATCTGCCTCTTATCAGATGTGTGCAAATTGCTTAACGTTTCGGAAAGTCTACTGATTTTGTCTACCAAATCGGGGTCATAATACATGTGTTGCTAGGCTGACCTCAGAGGTTTGGAGTGAGGTTTATGTCAACTGAAAACTATTAAATACACATATGATATGATTCAACCATTGAAATTGTAGTGTTCTAGGAGCTGGGGGAATGGGGGCACTGGAGAGCATGAAAGAGGTTCATAGATGTCAGAGGGCTCAAGAGCTATGCCAGCCAGGTCGTGGGTGGAATATGAGTGTGTGCCCTCCTCCCAGCATTACCTCCCTTAGGCCAAGTGCATTCCCAAAACCATTTATGCCATCATTTGCTTCTGTCCCCATGGGCCACACCCTAAAAGAATTCCCACTTTATACCTCCCCAGCGCACTCTACATTATCCGCAACCCATGCGTTTGTGAGCCCCATCTCCTCAGAAGGCAGGAAGGCAAGCCTCAATCCCAGTGGGTCCTCACATGTCCGTGTGTGATATCCTGTCTTGGGGATTCTAGGTCTCTAAAGAATTACAGCAGCCACAGAGAACACAGGACATTGTAGAGAGAGGAAAGGGAATTAGTACTGGATCTCTCTGAGTGGTTGACATTGAAGACACAAGTCAGGGGTTCCTGATCTTCCAAGAACTTCTTCTTGATGCTCAAAGGCTGGTGAACCCTGCTTAAACGGAGCACTAACAAACACGCATACCACCCGCCAGCCTGCTAAGGCCAGGACTCGAAGGGGAGGGGAGAAGTCACAGCATGAGAGGGACGTCCATCAAGCTTTCCAGCCAGTGATGTTACAGAAGCTAATTTAATCTCAGCAGAGGATACATTATTTTTGTCTCACCGATGTTGTTCATTTCTGTATCCTCAGTGCCTGGTGCTCAGAAATATTTGTCAAATGAATGATTTGAATGAATTTTGTGCTGTGGATTATGGTCCTGCCTGAAAGCACGGGTTTGATCATTTCTGAGAGCCCTTTCTAATCCTCTGTAGTTTACAGGGTTACTGAGACAGCCACTTGTTACTGATTCTAAACGACTAACAGGTTGATGGGACTTCCTGGTTGAGAGCACCACCTGCCCCTCCCTTTCCGTTCTGACTAGGTATTCAGACAGAAAAGGACCCTCCAAATAAGGGAGGTGGAAGGACAGAGGAAGGCAGTAAGGTGAAGTTAAAATACTAATTAGCGCTGACTCACTCGGAATAGTATTCTGGCCTGAAGCCAGCTCCCCTGAATCAAAAGGTCAGCATGAGGTCCCCAAGGGCAGCAGTGCCTGCTGGGGGCGGACATGTTGAGACCATTCCTTTGGATTTCCAGTACCCAGAGAATTTATCTCCACACACACACATATACTTGCATACATTTTCACACAATAGACCCCTGCCAGCGCTCACATGGCCTTGCCCACACAGACACATACGCGTGGGAACACACATGCCTCTCACTCAGATGTCACCTCTCTTCTCATCGGTTACTCTCACAGACAGAGACACTGCCTTTCACACTGGGGAAACCACACTCACCACCATCTCCAACCTCTGGGCTTTGGTCAGTCTCTGTTTTCTTCCTCAGCCCCTTTCTCCCGCCCTTCTCTTCCTTTGCTCAGGTGGGGAAGATTCGGATGGGACTTTGGGTTGAGGCCAAGGCAGGAAAAAGCAGAGGAAGGTGTGCTCCAGCTGGTGTGGACATGGAGCGGGGCAGCTGGTACCTGTCCTCAGTTCAAACCAGAGTCGCCTGTGGGTTAGTGCTTGGTCGCTAAACCTAGGGGCTCCTTCTCTGGTGGTGGGCTCGGAGTCCACCCTTCCCACTTCCTCGGCTCAGATACTAATGGGGTGGGTCTGAGGAAGTCAGTGGAGCTGACTTGAGGGCAAAAGACAGGACTGGGAGGATCCCCCTGATTGTTAAGATTTTGAGAAGGGTGGTTTTCGCCCAGAACTCACCATCTAGGACCGCAACATCGGGACCACCCTTCCAGAAATGGCCTCTGCTAGAGCCGAACCCAAAAGGCCGCCCCGGATTGCCGGGTTTGGAGAGAGAGGGCGGCATCTCCCGGGGGAGCTAGCACCAACACAGGAGTGCGGAGCCCCAGAGGCGCTAGCGTCCCTCACGGGACCTCCGGGCTGATAAGTGAGGAGATGGGGCGAGGGTGCAGCCTTCTCCGCGAAAATCCCTGGGGAGCGTTCGTGGAGACTGGGAGGTGCGGAGAAGTGGCGACGGGGCCCTGGTGCGCGGCGCGTAGCGCGCAGAGGTCTCGACTCCCCGTGGGGGGACCGCGGACCTGGCCCCGCGCCGGGGACCGCGTGGGGCACAGCAGTGGCAGACGCCTCTCAGCGGGGACGGCGTGCGCGCGTGCGTGTGCGCCCCCGCCGGGCTTCCGCTCTCTTGCGGAGACTCCGCCGCACCGCCAGCTGCGCCCGCTTCTCTCCTCTCGGCATTACTTAGAGAAAGGCGACTCTTCCCTGGACCTTTGCAGAGGTGGCCCGCTCCCCTCTGGCTAAGTAAATCAATAAGCCAAACCGGCCTCGCCTCCCAGGAACCCCCAGCCGCGGTTGACCGGGGTCCTTCCGGCTCCATCCCCGCCCCTCGCGTTCTCGCCGGCCCCGCCCCCGCTTCTCCTGGCGCTCCCGTGCGCGTCTCGCTGCGCCTCTGCGCTCCGCTCGCTCTCCCCCTCCTCGCCTTCCTGATCTCCTCGTCTGCTCCACCAAGGGGCCTCTCAGGGTGGAAGAGGAAGACCGAGTCGTGAGTGAGGAAGTTCGGTCCTTGGCCAACTCAGTGTCAGGCCACCGCTAGGCTCGGCTGCAACCTGTTCCTCCCTCGCCCAAGTGCTCGCCCGCCGCCCGCCCGCTCCCGCCCTCTCCCCGGCGCAGCCGCGGATCGCTGTTGCATGCTGATCCGTGGAGGCGGCGGCGGCGAGCGCTCCGGGCGGATGCTAGCACTTGGGCTTCGCTGCTCTCTGGATGCTGCTCAACTTCTATCCCAAGCGCAGGAGCTTTGAAGTCATTTATCCCTCTCCGGTTGGATCGACTTCTTATTTCGATATTTTGGGCGTTGCGGTTTACGCAGGAACCTCAATACCGCTCTCCCCCCCTCCTCCTCTCTCGTTCAACCTTTGGATGCGTCTGTGCTGGCAGATTTAAAGACCCAAGTCTTGGCCGTGGAATTTCTTAGATGGACTTGCAGGGGCTGGCGTTATAAAGCATGTCACCGTAACTCCATCTTTTTTTTTTTTTTTTTTTTTTACAAAAAGTTCTTTTGTTTTCATTTTCCCCCTCCCTCATACCAATAAATCACCAAACTGTTACCTAGCGGGCCGGTGCCTGCCTCTCTCCCAGAACTAGGTGGTGCGTCTACCAGAAGAGGAGCTATGTTTGAAGAGCAGCCTTCTCCACCCCTCTGGTCTCCAGTCCCTGAACGCCACCACACACTGGCATTTTGAAAAAAAAAATTGCCTCCAGAAACTGAGCACCCCCAAGCCCTTCCCCCCTTTTTTCCTCCTTGAGGAATGGAGCTTCGCAGAGGTTGTATTTAGATTCAACAGTTCAGAGCGGTGGGGTTGCTGCTGCCGCCTCTCCGAAGAGCTCCCGGGGCTCCCCGGAGGCGGTAGTCCCCGTGCCCGTCTGGATGCGGCTCTGAGTCTCCGTGTGTCTTTCTGCTTGTTGCTGTGTGCGGGTGTTCGGCCGCGATCACCTTTGTGTGTCTTGTCTGTTTAAACTTCAGGATGGCTCGCTTCGGGGAGGCGGTGGTCGGCAGGCCCGGGTCAGGCGATGGAGACTCGGACCAGAGCAGGAACCGGCAAGGAACCCCCGTGCCTGCCTCGGGGCCGGCGGCCGCCTACAAGCAGTCGAAAGCGCAGAGGGCGCGGACTATGGCTTTGTACAACCCCATTCCCGTCCGGCAGAACTGTTTCACCGTCAACAGATCCCTCTTCATCTTCGGAGAAGATAACATTGTCAGGAAATACGCCAAGAAGCTCATCGATTGGCCATATCCTTTCTTGCCCACCATAACTCCCCTCTCTCCTTTTGCATTTCTTCAGGTGAGGGGGGAAGCTTACCATGGAATTTATCCCCCATCCCCTTCCTGGTGCCGCTTTCCCCTTTTGCTGAAGTGTACGCTTTACTTCCTGCATGTAAGGGGCAAGCTTGGTGCCATAGAGACCAGTCTGGGCACTTGTGTTTTGCAAGGTAAGACTTTTGGTTTTTGATTTTTCCTATGTGGAGATCTCTAGCGTTCCTGGGTGTGTGGTGTTGCGGTGTCTGCCCCTTTTTGGGCTGGGCTCTGACTGATTCCCAGGCCCCCCAGGCCCTTCCCATAGAATGGGTTGCCCCAAATCTCAGGCTTTTTTTCACATTCAATCCCTCTTTTTCCTCCCTGAAGCCACCCCTTCTGCCCCCATCGCCACCAGCTGGGGAGACACCTGCACCATTTGCCTGTATGGAAGTTGAAGCTCCATGAGGGGATTTATCAGTTCTAAGCTTCAAAGAGTCTGGGCCAAAACCCTGTAGACAAACAGACGAATGGATAAATAAAACAGGTTTGGCTGGGGACCCAGCTAACTCTGGGGACTGAGTTTAAGTTCCTCTGAAAGTAGAGTGAATGAGTGTGCCCGGGGAGGCAATCTCTAGTGACATAGCCCAGACAGCTCAGAATTGGAGTTCTCTTCTCAGCTGAGGAAGAGCAGCTCAGCAAGGCCCATCATTTCTTTGGTCCTGGGTTGGGTACTCCTACCTCTTAATGCTTGATCCAGTTGATCTGCTGGATCCAGGCGCATCTGCTGGGCCTGAATTCATCAGCTGAGGACTGCATCAGCTGAGCCCAAAGATGTGCAAGCAAGCTGTCTCTCTCTAGTTCCAACGGAACCGCTCTCCACAAAGAGCTGGTGGGGGCAGCTCGGATGATGGTGGTGTCAGGGTGAACGGGGCATAGAAGGAGCTTCTTTGCAGGTTTAATCAAATGCACCAAATGCAGGCTGCCGGTAAAGCATCTCACTGCCTTATTCTTCACTAAGATTTTGGGTGTGTGGCAGGGTCTTTGGGAATTGGGGGTTGGTGGGGTGGTGATGGGGGAATAGCAGGAAGTACGCCAGTGGGGTGGTGGTAAATATGGAGGTAGGCTTGGAGACATGGGACTTTGATGCTTGTGGAGAGAGATTTCTTGGGAAGGATGCACCTACAAGGGAGGCCCCTCCTCTTCTTCCCTCTCTTCCCTCCTTCCCACTCCCACCCTCACCCTCCAGGTGTGCAGCAGTGAGGCAGCTGGAGCCCCGTTGGGTCTCTAGTATCAGTGAGGCACGCGGCTCGCATCCCCCAGAGCCTGGGCATCTCCCTGCTACCCCCACTCCAGTCTCTGGCCTTCTCCTCCTTCCTCCCTAGTTCCCTGCCTCAGCAGCACCACGATTGGCTGGCGCATGGTGCTTCTAGGCAGCACCCCTCATTAGAAACGAAGGAGCATCTCTAAGCAGATATTCTTCCTGCTGCTGCTCGCATCCTCCCACAACCACCCCTGGCTGGGCTTCCTCTCTCCTCCTCCTTGCACTCCCCTCCCCCTCCCAAACAATGATCGGGGCCATACTGGGCCTGAGTTAAACATATCTAGGGTGGGGGTATTGGGGAGTGGGAAGAGTCCAGTTTCTGCAGTCCCACCTGCCGGTGCGCCGCACAAAGCGGCAGATCTCATTGTGTTGCGTGCTGCAGCTGCAAACACTCCTCTAGTCAGGTCTCTACTGATTTCCCCAGCCGGGCCCTCCTCCCCCGCCAGCTTTCTACAGTTCTCTAACATTTCCCACCCTCCCGGTCCTGCTGTACCGTGCTCCTCTCTTAGGGGCGTGTTTACTCAGACAGGCGCCATCCGGTTTCCTTGCGGTGGACAAAGCCGCCTGGCCGCCCCGGGTGGCAAAGTGTGCCAGCAGCCATTGTTGGCACCTCGGACAGCGCCACCGAAACTCCCTAGGCCGCCAGGGCTGCAGGATCACCCGGGTTCAGCAACTCGGGTACTTCCGGGCTGGGCCCAGGCTCGGGGCTGGAAATGCACGTTCCCTACACCACGCGGTCGCCCTAATTCACCTTTTCTCTTCCGCTGCAAAGACACTGCCTTTCCACCAGGCGTTGTGAGCGCAAGCTGCGACTGTGTTTTACTCTGCCCTTTCCTTGTCTTTGGCCAGGATGCACCAGAGAGTCAAAGGAAAGACTAGGGAGTTGATTTCAGCATGTACTCAATGCCTTGGCGGTGAGCCCCGTCCCAGTGGTCTCTTCTATCCCCATAGTTGGAAGTTTCGCAGTGGTTCTACAGCGTAGGCTATTGCTACAGTGTTCAGAGAACATCTGCTAAGGTATATAGGGGAGCCTGGTTGGAAAATTTAAAATACACTGTGTTTGCTTTTTCCTCCTGGCTGTACAACATAATTGACTAATATATTTTCCCTAGTGGTGACCATGTGGAAACATTGCACTTCTGTGGGTTCTGCGTTTTCTCCAATACCGCATCTAAGTCTCTAGTCTCTTCCCTTCCTCTCTAAACATTCAGCTTTCCGAAATATCTTACTGGGAATCAGTGTGAGCAGAGGCTGCCAGTAAAGCTTGGGAGCTGGGCTGACCAGCTTCAAATCCCAGTTCCTTCACCAGCTCTGTGACCTTGAAAAGTTACTTCATTGTTCTGTGACTCAGTTTCCTTATCTGTAAAATGAAGATGATAATAATGAGTTACCGGGAGAGTTAAATGAGTTAATATATGTCAAGTTCATACAAAATTGCCTAATTACCCAGTAAACACTACCTATTATTGTTAATGGGATCCCTCAGAAATTTCAGCATACCTGAGAAAGGGGGTCTTAGTTCTAGGTGAACTAAGTCTTCTAGATTTTTGCCTCTCAAAGAGAGCAAGGAACAACATCTGTATCACCTGTGGGCTTGTTAAAAATTCAGAATCCTGAGCCTCACTTCAGACTTACTGAATCAGATCTGCATTTTAATAAGATCCCAGGTGATTAGTATGCACATTGAAGTTTGGGAAGTACTTCTCTGCTCTTTGTAAGGGCCAGATTTCGAAAAACGGCAGGCTGTTCAGAAAACATGTCAAGACCTGCTTTGAATTGAGATATGAACATGTGACATGCTTGAGGATTTTGATAGTTTGTGCACTATGCCTTTTGAGACATCTATCTTTTATTGGCTGCAGAGAAGCACTGTAGGGCTAGGGAAAATGTACACTTCTCTGTGCTGTTAGTGGTCTCTTAATGCTGCATATTACTGGTCTTTAATCAGATTGACCTGAAAAGATGAGTTAAATAGAAGGAATTATTTAATTTATACTTTAGGACCCTCTGGCTCGGGTGGAGTCAGGGGGTAACCTTATCCAGTTATTAATAGAGAAGGTCTAGTTCTTATGGGAAGAAAAGCCTAAAATAACCCAGATTTGGCATGAAAGATGGTGGCAAGTCAACAGCCCCCTCTGAATGTGTTTCATTTTTCTTGGAAGCTACATCTGCATAGGGAGATAATTTTATTTTCTTATGGCACTGTCTCCTGCAGTGGCTACCATAACCTTTTTGAAAATGCTAATCTGACTTAAAATGTGATGTTACATTTTATATGATTCCTCCTTTTCTTTCTTGCCCATCTCATAGGTCTAACAAAAGAGTTCTCTTTTTCTCAGTGAATTGGCTTCTCTGAATGTCACTGCATGGCTACTGTCCCAGATGCCTACCCTTCTGTTCTCGGGCCCAGTTACCCTGTGGACATACAAGGTCTCCCTCATGGTCTGTGAGATGCCCCACATGCCCCACATGTGTTTGCACTTTTCTAGGTTAGAGGGCCAAGGGAAGAAATGGTATGTTTGACTTGGAGACTCAGCTGTTAATGGGCAGTGGGAGATTTTTCCCCACCGATGGTATGAGTCATCACAGCGGGGCGGGGGGGGGGGGGGGGGGGG